TTCCTCAAGGATGTTTGGGCCAAGGAGCCGGTGCTCGTCGTGTCCTTCGCCGTCGGGGGCCTCGGTGCGTGAGTGCCCCGGCGTGAGCGCGCCCCGCCCGCCCCGCCCGCCCCGCTCCCCGTCCCCGCGCCCCGCTCCGCTCCACCCCTTAGCCATCTCTGCGGAGTCGCGGCGCCCTTTGCCCTTGAGTTGTTGGGGGCGGCGTGGGCCCGGGATCTGTGGGGGCCCCGGGTCCGTGCGCCTCTCGTGGGGTCCCCGAGGCCTCCCTCCCACCCCCCCCACCCCCACGAGGCTCTGCACACTGAGTGCACGGAGGCCCACGGGGAGGGGTCATTGAACAGACTCCTGGCCCCCCGGGTTTGCGGTGAGGCCCGGAATTCCGCAGTTCTAACCGGTTTCTGGGTCAGGTCAGTCTGCCGACCCAAGGTCACACACGGGGTGCGGGTCCGCCAGCCACGTATGCTCAGCGAGCTCTCGAGACGGCGGGAGAGGCATCCGATTTCATCGCAGCAGCTTTATGCTGTTCGCTTTTTTATGTTGAGATAGGGTCTTACCAGGTTAAATCTAAGTCCTGTTGTTCATCTCGTGTGTGCTTTTCCCTCTCGTGTGAGGTGCCAGAAGACGTAAGATTACACGTGGCTGTTTTCTGTCAGCCTTCCAGCAGGCAGCAGCACACTACTTTCGCTCCTTGCCTCGGGACTCCACATTCTGGCCTGAGAGGATTGTAACCTGTCAGTGACTGCCCTTTGCACCGTCTCCGGCCAGTTTGCTGCAGTCCTGTTCCTCTAGAATAGCCCCAAGTCACCCTCAGGATGTTGCTCCGTTGTGACCACCCCCACTACCTCCCCTCTGCTCCCCACTTCCACCCACTCACTTAAATGCCACAGGAACTCCTAGAGCAAAGCCCTTCCTGGAGGTCCTCCCTGCTCCCCTGTCCCCCTGCCCTCACCCTTGTCTCTCCACAGCGATTATTATGCCTGTACTCAGCCCCTACACCAAGTACTCAAGCATGATCAACTCGGCCACACCCTACAACTACCCAGGTGAGCTGGAGCTAGGGAGGACAAAGCCTGGGTCGGCCATGGTTCACACCCATTCTCTTCCCATCTTTCCACTTTCTACTGCTTTCCAGGGCTGGTCTCCCACCTCTACTGGAAATGACTATCCTACCTGTTTCCCATTTCCCACTTCTCTGCTTATTCTCTGAACCCTCTCTCTTTCTACTGGAATCTTATTTTGCTCTCTAAACATAAACTGACAAATCAGCTGACCTATTCAGAGCCCTGGAGATCTTCCCCTTCTCAGTGCCCCCCTCCTGTCTCACAGTGCCCCTCCGAGACAATGGGAACCTGCCAGATGTGCCCAGCCACCCCCAGGACCCCAGAGGCCCCAACTTGGAGTGGCTGAAGAATCTGTGAATACCTTTGCTTACAGCGGACAGGGAGGTGAACCCCTCCCCTGGGGCCTCAATAAAAATGTGAAAACCAAACTCAGAATCTGAATGTGATTAGAGACAGGAGCAGCAGACACTGGCCAAGCGGCTGGAGGGGTGGGAGGGAGAGGAGGTCATTTATTGGAGTGGAGTTAGTCAAAGGGCGGGCTGGCCAGGGTGGGGTAGGGCAGCAGTTTGTCAGGACCCCGAGAAACCCAACTTGAATCCAGGGCCTCATCTGCTTCAAAGCCGAAATCTTCCTCAACTTTAATCTGTAGAGATAAAGAACAAGGCAGGAGTGGGCCAGTGTAGCTCTCTGGGCCCAGACAACCCCCTGCACTCAGCATTCCTGGCACTCCCTTTTCTCGCCTGTTTTCCCCTCTTCCATCTCCAAGTTTCTCTCCCGGGAGCTCTTGCCAACCCTCCCCAATCCGTCCCTGGCTTGTCCCTGTATCCCTGGCTTGTCCCCGGCCTCTCTCCTTCCTGCTCCATCCCTGGCTCCTCCCACCTGCACAGGTGCCAGATCCGGGGTCAGCGCTGCTCCTGCTCGGCCTCCTTCTCGAGGTGGCCTCCGCCTCTTCCTCCCACTAGACCCCTCGCCGGGGGGTGGGCTGCTGGCCTCTGGGGGTACAGGAGTCCTTTTGGGTGGGGATAATCCCTCTCTCTCGGGAGGCTCGTTCTCGGCATTGCCTGGGGTAGGGGCATCTGTGCCCTGGCTGCCCTCATCCTGTGGGGGAGGAGAGGCATGTGAAGATGGCTGTGGCTGGGGTTCCTCTGCCCACCTGGCAGTTGGCACTCACCTCCAGCACGATGGTGAACTGGCTGGCCCGGTAGTCATCGCCATAGGAGTCCAGGACCCTCATCAGGAACCTGCATGGCGGAGAGACCACCCATGGCTCAGCTAACCTTTACTGAGCAGGTCACAGAGCCGGGCGCCAGTGGCTCATGCCTGTCATTCCAGCTCCTCAGGAGGCTGAGATCTGAGGACTATGGTTCAACACCAGCCCAGGTAGGATACTTCATAAGACTTAAATCTCCAATTTACCACCCTAAACCACCCATGAAGTCATAGTTCAACTGGTAGGGTACCAGCCTTGAACAAAAAAGCTAGGTGATTGAGTTCAAGCTTTAGTACCAGCACACACACACAAACACACAAAAGGATAAAGGCGCAACAAACAAACCAAAAAAAGGGGGCTGAGCTTTGGGGAAGTGACTGCAAGGAGTATGGGAAAGCAAGCCAGCACAGGCACATCTGGGTAGGCAGGAGACACCCAGGATGCTCAGAGAGGGCTCCAAGGAAGAGGGCAGGTCCACAGAGTCAAGCATGGGAGCTGCTGTGTGAGCTGGAGTGCCAAGTTCTGTGTCATAGGCTATTCCATCTCGCAGGGACACAGAGCACAACACAGCCCTCACCTGAGCCCTCACCTGCACAGTGAGCTCCAGGCTGGCTGGTGTGCAGTGCTAGTGTGGGAAAGGGCAGCTCAACCACACAGCAAATGGTGTCCACCATCTCCAGTGCCATCCCGTGGCTAGTGAGACCCGGGTGGACAGGAGACAGTGGGAGGTGATGGACATGTGGGGGCAGAGGCCACGGGGGCACAGGTTACCTGCGCTCTTGCTGGAGCCTCCGAGTTATCCTCTGCACCTGATGGAGCCTGTTCAAGACACGCTCGTTCACCTGAGGGGAAATAGAAGAAACTAGGTTAGACCCTGTCCCTCAGGCCCTAGGGAGCCGTCTCAGGCCAGCTCCTCGCCTCCAGTCCCCATCCAACAGGCTGGCCTCCGCGGAATGCCTTGATCCCCGGAGCACACTCCTGGCTTAGGAGGCTTTCCATGTGCTGTACAGGCTAAAGAACACCAAAGACTGCTGGAAACCCCAAAGCTAGGAGGGAGCCTGGGCCAGGGCCCAGACCACACCTTGATCTCACTTCTCACCTGTGAAATTGTCAGCTGGGAACGTGTTGCTGAGCCACCAGCTGGTAGTTCTTTTTAACAACTTGAGGAAACATGATAAATCCTTCAGAGAGCCTTTCAAACATTCAGAACCTGGACATGAGTGCTTCCCCCCACTTCCCAAAGCCTTTCAAGGGCTCCCCTGCTCTCCTTTATTCTCAAAAATCCCAAATACTTCTTGCTCTGGTGTCATGGCCTATTAAAGTCGTGGGCTGTGGCTCCTTTCGATCAAGGAGGTGTATTCAGTGACTTCTCCCAGCCCAGGGAATTCATTTAGGGACGGAAGCCAAACACATGGCAATGAGAATGGATCCAAGGGACATTTCAGAAGCAGAGTGAGTGGCCTGAAGGCACCTGCGAGGATTTGCAGGTCTCAAGGCGCGGGGCCGCACGAGGCCCCGAGGGGCACCTGGGAGACACCAGGAGGCAGAGCTGGTGTCGCAGAAGCTGCTGGCGAAGGATGGATCCAGGTACCACACAAATGAATGAGCCCACGAAGGGTTCATGCGGCTAACCCAGGAGCAGCGAGGAGCAGGGCAGCCTGGGAAGGTTCGGAGGACCCCTACAATGGGACCCAGAATTGACTACCTGCTCGATCTCCCGGCAGCGCCGGCCCAGGGCCTGGTACTTCCTGCGGTTCAGCTCTCGCTGGCGGCGCCGCCGACCCCGGGCGGCCTCCTCCTCCTCGTCCCGTTCCCGGAGCCCCGGGCCACCCAAACCGCCCGACACGAACTCCACTTCGGTCTCCAGCTCGCTCTCCAGGATGTGGCCGCCAAACAGCGGAGGCAGCGCCAGCTCCGAGCCCGGTGGTGCCGAGAACTCCTCGAAGCCCACGGCTGCCATGGTCCTGGAGGGCGGGAATGGGGCGGTGTCAGGGACCCTAGCCTGGCTCCCCAGCCCCTCCGTCCTGAAGGGCCGACCCCAGTCCTCTCCCCTAGACCCAGGGGTCAAGAGCCCCAGCTTCCTCGTTTCTCAGGTTTGGGGGTGATCACAAGCATTCTGCCCCAGAATGCTCCGGCACAGACCCCAGGTACCCCGAAAAGGTATGAGAGCAGTCTCCCGAACTACAACCCCCATCAACCCTCAGAGGGCACGGGCGGACGGCTGCAAACTGAGGGCGCGTTTCCAGACTCGGGGTTCCCCCCACAACCCTTTCCTCCTTCAGGTCGGCTACTCACCCTTCCCTCTGCTCCAGCTCCATCTCCCCGGCTCCGGGCGACCCAAATCTCAGGACTTCAGCCTCCGGCCTCCAGGAAGAGCCGTGCGCAAAACTACCCGTCCCGTCGGGCTGTTCGGCCCCGCGAGCCCGGCGCCTTCTGGGAGTTGTAGTTTCGTGTCCCCGGCTTCTTGCCGCACGTCCTCCTCCCCACGTCCACCCGCGTGTCGAGTCCTTGCTTCTCTGTCTACTGCCGCACCCGGCCGTCTGTATGGCCGCCGCCGTTCCTCTCAGGTCAGGACAGCCCCGCGCGTGGTGGGGCCCGTCTCCCGTGGACTGGAGCTCCAAGCTCACGGACCCCCCCGCGGCGGACGCGAATAAAGTTGTTTCAACCGCGACCAGGAACGTTCCCAGGCTGCGACCAATCAGAAAGCAGCTCTGATGTCATCGCCACGCCGCCTACGTCATCAGAGCGCGCCGTCCTCGGGGGAAGTTTATTTCGTAGAAACCGTCGTGTGCGGAGGCCAGAAGTGAGTGTGAGGGCGCCGGAGAGGGTGCGAGGCGGGGGAGCTGGGCTGCGCGGTCTGGAGGACGGCGTGTGTGGGGACAGAGGCGGGCTTTTGCAGCCTGTTTGCCCCAAGGCTTCTTATGTGACTTCTATATCAGGGGCAACAAGCATCCCCTGCTCTCTTGGTTTGGCTGATGCCAGGAAGCAGGCTTAATGAAGCAGCTACTTAGCTGATCACACGTGCGTGTGTGAGTGTGCGGGGCCTGCGTCACCCAACAGCCCACCCCAGGCTGGGTCACATTAGTGGAGTATGAGGAGCAGATGGAGTTAGGGAAAAAAGTGAGGAGCCTCTAGCTGTAGGGAATGGGAGTGGAGGAGGGAAGATGCAGCCGTGGGGGAAGGTGTCTCCAACCGAGTGGCCTTTGGAGGGGTGTGGTGTGTTACAGCCTGGGTAGGAACGGTGACACCCCAGTGAACAAGCAAAGCATCCTTCCTTGAGAAGCCTGCATGATTGCTGGGGTTCCTAAAGATGAACCAGAATCTTCCAGAGGAAGCATTCCTTTTGGTAATGAGAGATAGAGATGGAGTACAGTTTTAGGGAACAGTGGTCTCGCTCCCCCATAGGCCTCGGGATGTCTCTGGCAGATGAGCTCTTGGCTGACCTCGAGGAGGCAGCAGAAGAGGAAGAAGGAGGAAGCTATGGCGAAGAAGAAGAGGAACCTACCATCGAAGATGTACAAGAGGAGACACAGCTGGATCTTTCCGGGGATTCGGTGAAGAGCATCGCCAAGCTATGGGACAGCAAGATGGTAAGAGGGCATGGAGGTGTGAGTGCGCTCTGATGGGGAAACAGCTCTTGTCTCTCAAGGATCCCATGTTCTGACTCTGCTCTCCTCTGATAGTTTGCGGAGATCATGGTGAAGATTGAGGAGTACATCAGCAAGCAAGCCAAAGCTTCAGAAGGTCCTCCCCTTTCTTCCCCCACACACTCATTCTTCTGCTAGCTTTTTGTTTTTCGTGGCTTAGAAATTAAATGTTTTTCTCAGCCTTTTCCAGAGTCTTTGTCTTTTCCTCCATCCTATCCTATCCCAGCACACACCTGTAGTCTTGGGACTTAGCACAATGAGGTAGGAGGATTGAATGTCTGAGTCCAGTCTGGACTACACAGTATATGTACTTACACTTACATGTATATGCAAGTGGTACACTGCAAAGCTCTTAAGCCCTTATTCTGTCCTTATTAATTGTGCTTCACCTTATCTTAAGGTTTCCCAATTTGCAGTTTTATATCTGTAAACCTGCTCAGCCTGTTATTTACTTAACAATTTTTTAAACCAATGGATTTTTTTAAAGAATTAAGTTTATGGATTGGACATCAAATTAAGTATATTACTACCACAAGTGGAAAACTAAGAGGCCTTAAAGAAAAAACTGAGTCACCTAATGTGAGAATCCAGAGGTGTGAAGCAGCCTCTGGGGCTGAAACCAGGTCCTGTGGGAAGGTGGAAAAGCCTTGGGGAGGCCTACAGATGTCCCCTGAGTGACTCTTCTGGGCACTGAGGGTGCTGGACTTGCCCTTTGGGTGTATGGAGGCCTCAGACGTCAGTCTGTGGAGCTCAGGGTTATGGGGAGCCACAAGTCAAACCAGGGGTCAAATCCAGACCAGCCTAGAGTGCAGACTGGAGGGAGCGTGAAGGAACAATCCATGTCCAGGGGATGTTTGCAAACTTGTAAGCCCACTCCCACTACTGCACACTTCTGCTCCTCCTTCCTTCCCCCAGCCTCAACCCAGTCTCCCCACAGCTTTGTAATCTGGGAGGGGGTGGGCGTTTAGGCAACACCCCCCCTCCCCACCATCCATGCACTTTTTGTGTTCACAGTGATGGGACCAGTGGAGGCAGCCCCCGAGTACCGTGTCATTGTAGACGCCAACAACCTAACAGTGGAGATCGAGAATGAGCTCAGTGAGTACTGCAGATGGCAGCCCTGGCTGATGCCCCTTCCCTTTCCCCTTCCCCATCCTCCAGGGGGATCAAGTAGGAGCCAGCTCCCTCTGCCCCTACTTCCCAGCCCCAACCTCAGGCGGGTCCCAAATCCCTGTATTAGCTGGAATCAGATTCAACCACTGGATCAGTGGCTTCATAGAAAGAAATACAATCTCTTCTCCCCTAAAAGTTTGAGCAGCTCTGGCCTGGTTTGACCTCCTGTAAAGCCCAGGTTCTTTCTTCTTCTGCCATATGTTTTTGTGCTACAGTGTGGCTGCTCCCCTCTAGCCATCACCTCCACATCCCCACCAGCGAAGGTGCAGAGCAGGGCATAGTGCCTTTCCTTAGGACACAGGGTGGCACGTGTGTCATTCCCACTCACGGCTTATAGAGCTGACACATGTGGATGTTTGGATATTACAGGCAGCATGAGTGGACATTTATGCTGGTTTCCATGTGCCAAGAAGAGATTTTGGGGTCATTGAAAGTAGAACCCTGCTGTCTCCTCACTGGACACTTGTCCTTCCTATCTTAGATATCATCCATAAATTCATCCGGGATAAATACTCCAAGAGATTTCCCGAACTGGAGTCCTTGGTCCCTAATGCCCTGGATTACATCCGCACGGTCAAGGTAAGAGGAACAGGACAGAGCAGGAGGTGAGACTCACTTTCAGACCTTGATCCAGGAAGCCTCGAGGTCTGGAAAGCCTGGAGAGGTGCAAAAGGAAGCTCAGCAAGGAAGGCTGGGACTTGGAGAGGCCGTGTCCCACTCCCCCGCACATGCGCTCTGTCCTCTCTCTGGTATCCTGAGACCAGCCTGACCTTTGCTTTCCAGCTGAACAGAAGCAGGTAGCATTGAATGGAGCTCTGGAGGCTGGCAGGGCAGCGTTGTGAAGAGGCAGCCAGCCCAGTTGTATAAGTGCAGACCCTGAGTGGGAACAAGCCAGGAAGGAGTAGGGGTGGGAGGAGTTGTTGAAATGGCAAGGAAGGAGGGAGCACAGGAAAGGTAGGATTTTGAAGGTCTGGGGTCCTATGAAGAGGGACAGGAGCCATGAAAGCAGGGAGAGCAGGAGCCCAGCCCCTTCCCCCTCCCAGTGTCCCTTAGGAGATAGGGATGGGGCAGAAGAAATGGCTGTCACCAGATCTGTGGTCCTGAGGGCTTGTCCAGGGCATCAGGCCTGGCTTGCTTGGGTTCCACTTCTGGGTGGGCAGGCAGAACAGCCAGTCTCGAGGCCCTGGGCAGGGGTGGTCTGGGCACTGCTAGGGGGCAGGAGAGGCCCCTGGTGCAGGGGTCTCAGCTTTCCCAGTGTCAAAAGGAGACCTGAGCATGTGCTGGAAGAGGAGAGCTTCTAGCAACTTCCAAGTTCTCATGACTCCCACCCCCTCTTCGCACAGGAACTGGGGAACAGCCTAGACAAGTGCAAGAACAATGAGAACCTGCAGCAGATCCTCACCAATGCCACCATCATGGTCGTCAGCGTCACCGCATCCACCACCCAGGGGTATGTCTATGTCTACCACAGGCGAGCACCGCCAGCCAGCCCACATCAGAGAGAGTAAAACAAGGCCCTGCCTGGGCCGGCTGGCATGGTGCTGGCTGACAGTTAAGATGCCCAACAGCCCTTGCTCCCAGGCCTTGGAGCTGACAGAAACTGAGGTGGCCCTGAGAGCTGCCCATGTACAAAATCCCCTCAGCAGGACCGGGGTCTGTCCCCTTGCAGGCAGCAGCTGTCGGAGGAGGAGCTGGAGCGGCTGGAGGAGGCCTGTGACATGGCGCTGGAGCTGAACGCCTCCAAGCACCGCATCTATGAGTACGTGGAGTCCCGGATGTCCTTCATCGCACCCAACCTCTCCATCATCATTGGCGCATCCACAGCTGCCAAGATCATGGGTGAGGCCTGGGTCCCCACCTCCACGGGGTGCTGACCCGGGGGTGACAGGGAAATGGAGCCTTGTGATCACATTGAGCTCAGCCAGATAAATCCAGAACATTCTTCCCCATCTGGGAGTCCTCAACCTGGTCTCTGCAACACCCTCGGGGCACACGCAGTTCTGCAGGCTCAGAGGGGGATACCTGTTGTTGTTTTCTCTCCCTGACTCCCATAAACTCACCGGTAGCCCAGAGCTGTTTGGTGAAAATGTTTCCATTCAGAGGTGGTGTAGACCACCAGTGGGGCTTGGCCAGGCTTTGGGGGCAGCTTCCCAGTGGGCCACTTCTTTGCTGTGCATCCTCAGACAAGTTGCTCCCTTCCTTGAGCCTTTACTGATCCCTACCCGGTGAAGTGAGAGGCACCAACCCTCCATCAGGGCTGCCTTGGGGACCCAGTCATAAGGTCAGAGCTCCAAATCCAGGCTCTGTGCTGCCTTTGACCTCACCTCACACCACAGGTGTGGCTGGCGGCCTGACCAACCTGTCCAAGATGCCTGCCTGCAACATCATGCTGCTGGGGGCCCAGCGCAAGACGCTGTCCGGCTTCTCCTCCACCTCCGTGCTGCCCCACACCGGCTACATCTACCACAGCGACATCGTGCAGTCCCTGCCCCCGGTGAGCCCAAAGGCACGGGCCTGGAGCAAGCCACATTGCCGTGGGCAGCGCCGTGCCTCAACCTCTGAATTGGGGGAACAGCATCTGCGTCTCTGGGCACACCAGAAGTGCTTACAACGCAGGCCTCACACACAGCAAGTGATGCAAGGCCCTCTCCAGAGTTCAGGGACCCCCTAAACCTAAGGAGTTGGAGAAAACACCCACGAAGCGAGGGGACACTGTGGGGCCCAGAGAAGGACATCCTTTCCTGTGGGGCCAGGACCCACTGCTCTCCTAGGAGGTGGCATGGGACCATCGAGAAACTTATCCAAGCCTTGCTTGGGCTCATGTGACCCCAGCTTCAAAGCTGGGCTTCCCTGCAGGGCAGGGAACCACCTTAAAACCACCTGGCTGGCCCAAGCCTGTAAGCCAAGGAGCACGCTTCCTGGGCAGGTTCTTTATTGTCCATTGCTGCTACTGGTTATATTGCTTTATTATTATTAATTGGGTCTTATGTTTTACATGCCCCCTCTTGGTTTTTACCAAAACGAGGGCGGCCTGGCTTTAGTGACATAGAACACGAATCCAGTTAAGCACAGACGGGTCTTTTCATAGTGGTGGCGGTGTATTTTCTTCTGTTCTGATTTTCCTCACTGACCCTGCCCCCTTTTCCCTTGCTCCAGGATCTCCGGCGGAAAGCGGCCCGGCTGGTGGCTGCCAAGTGCACGCTGGCAGCCCGTGTAGACAGCTTCCATGAGAGCACAGAAGGGAAGGTGAGGGCAGCTGGATGCCCGTCCCCTGGGCTCGGCCATTAGGGAGAGACCTGCTGAGGCCAGGCTCATGTCTGGGGCCTGGAGGCCGTCAGGGAAAGACCCATCACAGGTACCCTGTAAGGCCAAGGACTCTCACTGTGATCTATTAGTTTCCTAGGGATGCTGTGACCAATCAGTATAAATTGTGGCTTAAAACTCAGACTCAGGTGCAGGTGGCTCACGCCTGTAATCCTAGCTACTCAGGAGGCTGAGATCTGAGGATTGCAGTTCAAAGCCAGCCCGGGCAGGAAAGGCCGTGAGACTCTATCACCAATAAACCACCAGAAAACCAGAAGTGGTGCGGTGGCTCAATTGGTAGAACACTAGCCTTGAGCTGAAGTGCTGATGGGACAGCACCCAGGCCCAGAGTTCAAGCCCTATGAACAGAAAACAAAAAACAAACAAAAAAAACCCTTATACTCAGGGGCTGGGACTGTGCTAGAGTGCTTTCCTAGCATGCATGAAACCCTGAATTTGATTCCTCAGTATCACATCAACAGAAAAAGCCTGGCGCTGTCAAGTGGTAGAGTGGTTGCCTTGAGCAAAAGAAGCTCAGGGACAGCGCCCAGGCCCTGACTTCAAGCTCCAGGATTGGCAAAACAAAACAAACAAAAAACAACTCAGGCTTAGTATCTTAGCGTCCTGGAGGTGAGAAGTTCAGGAGTCACCTGGGCTATGCCCCTCTAGATCCTCCCAGAGGATCCATCCATCCAGCTTCCCTGCCCACCAGACTCCCTGGCTGGAGGCCCCATCCTCTGTGGCAGAGCCAGCCTTGCAGCACCCTCCTCCCTTGGACCCTGCTTGTGTCTGCACAGCTCCTCTGACCGTGTGTTAAGGCACCGTGGGTGATGCTGAGCCCTGTTAACCCAGGGTACTCCCCATCTCCCATCCTTGCATGGGCAAACCCAGGTGTAGAGGTCCTGGAGATTGGGATATGAGACACCGGGGCACGTCCTGGGAAGGGAACTGGGTGCAGTGATGAATGCAAAGCCCTGAGACCAGCACAGAGCCCAGGAGGGAGCAGAGGCCCTGGTGGGACCAGGAGCAGGTGATACCCACAGCCTTACTTGCCCGCAGAAATATGGGCGGGGGGCGGGAGGAGAGCTGTGGTGAGGAGAGGGGTGTGGGTGCCGTGTTGTTAGCCAATGTTGTGGGGAGCCAACGCTGGGGGAGGTACACAGGGATGCTGCCCGGCACAGTTATATTTGTGGGGCCAGGGAGGCTGAGCCCAAGGTTTGAATGGGGGGCGTGCAGTCCTGCGCAGGGCAGATGACCTTGAGAACCACAGGCCCCAGAGGGCCCTGTGTTCAGTGGACGGCATGCGTAGACCAGCGGATGGGCCACGGCCCGTCCCTAACTGCAGCTCCCATCCCAGGTGGGCTACGAGCTGAAGGATGAGATCGAGCGCAAGTTTGACAAGTGGCAGGAGCCACCGCCTGTAAAGCAGGTGAAGCCCCTGCCCGCACCCCTTGATGGGCAGCGCAAGAAGCGGGGCGGTCGCAGGTGAGCGGCTTGGGGGCAGGGAAGGTGGGGGGGATTGCGGGGCTGTCACAGATGAGTGGCTGGAGCGGGGGAGGGAAAGGGCTGTCCACCTCCTTGCTGACCCTGCCCCTTGTCCCAGGTACCGCAAGATGAAGGAGCGGCTGGGGCTGACTGAGATCCGGAAGCAGGCCAACCGCATGAGCTTCGGGGAGGTCAGACCCATCCCCACCGCTGTTCTTCCTCACCCTGTCCTATGGCATTCCCCCTCGGCCTGTGCGCCAGCCTCCCTTCCCTCACCCCTGCTCAGCCCCTAGTGATCTCACTTAGCACCCACTGCCTTCCTGCTCCACCCTGCCACTCCAGGCTTCCTGCTCAGGGCCACACCAGGCCCTCCAGACCTCCTAGGCTGGTCTCGCCTTCACCCAAGGCAACCTGGGGTTAGCCAGCTTCTTGAGGTGCCCTCCTGTACCCCAGACCACCCATCCTGCTCAAGTGCTCTCAGCAGCAAACCTGTCCCCTGACCCAGGTCTCTGCATGCTAGCTAATATGCACAAAGAGAGATGGCCTTCACTCAGCTCTGGGAGGAGTGCTAGGACCCCAGGGGTATCCAGACAGGGCTCCACAGGGTCCCCAGGACCACCATTGTTCAGTGGGGCTTCTGTCAGGTTGAGGCGCTGGCTGAGCATGCTCCTTCCCCCGCCCCACCAGATCGAGGAAGACGCCTACCAGGAGGACCTAGGCTTCAGCTTAGGCCATCTGGGTAAGTCAGGCAGCGGCCGTGTGCGGCAGACACAGGTGAATGAAGCCACCAAAGCCAGGATCTCCAAGACTCTGCAGGTACGGGGGAGCCAATGGAGCCGGGATGGAGGGGCCGTGGCTCTGAACCCGGGTCCCAGCCTGTCCTCCCCCACAGCGGACCCTGCAGAAGCAGAGTGTGGTGTACGGTGGGAAGTCCACCATCCGGGACCGCTCCTCAGGGACTGCCTCCAGCGTGGCCTTCACCCCGCTCCAGGTACACCCCACGCCTACGGGAGCCAGACCAGTCATGAGCGCGCCATCCTGGCCCAGATTAGTCCCCTGTGTCCCTAAAGGCAGGCATGTAGGGAGTCCGAGGTGACATTGATACAGCCCAGGACAGGCATGCAGACGCTGGCTGTGGCAGGGCATGGAGCTGTGCTGAGCACTGGCTTTGGAGTCATGCCTAGGGTCCTGTCCAAATAGCCAGCGACTGCCTGAGCAGGGACTCTTCTCAGAGTATCTGGTCCTTACCTTCAAAATAGCCAGAGCAGCCGGGCAGTGGTGGCTCACACCTGTAATCCTAGCTATTCAGGAGGCTGAGATCTTGAGGATCGCGTTTCAAAGCCAACCCGAGCAGGAAAGTCCATGAGACTCTTATCTCCAATAAACCACTCGAAAACCAGAAGTGGCATTGTGGCTCAAGCGGTAGAGCACTCACTGTGAGCTGAAGAGCTGAGGGATAGCGCTGCTAAAGCCCAGAGTTCAAGCCCCACAAACGACAAAAAAAAAAAAAAAAATAGCCAGAGCTGTTGGGGTGCACACCTAACCCATTAGAGCTCCCCAAGTCAGGTGACTTGAGTGACACATCTGAGTCCAAGTTGCTTCCTGGCAGTGAGGGACAGTGTGGGACGGCAGTCTACTCCCTTGTGCCTCAGTTTACTGCCAGGTTAAGCAAGTGGGTTCCACCATCCTGTGATGAACCTTCTCACTCGTCAGCAATGGCTCCTGATCCCGGCTGAGTTCCCAGCTCTGTCTCAAACTCTGGGGTCAAAGCCACAGACAGCAGCCAGGCCTGGGCTGGGGAGGGCGCGGAGGGCAGGGGCAGGAGGCCTGTGGTATGTGAGAAAGTGTGTTGGGAGATCAGGAGAGAAGGGAGCTGTGGGTGGAGAGATTTCTGAGTTGGAGCAGTCAGGGCGAGAATTACTGCCTTGAAAACTGTGTGGCCGGCAGCCATAGTCTGCTGGGACTTGTGCTGCAACTCTGGGCCAGCTGCTGTCCTCTGTCACTCAGTTCCTTCATCCAAACATAGAGAGAGTGGTTTTCCTCAAATACTGGTATCTTCAGCATCACCTGAAAACTCCATTGGAAATTTGAATGCCCAGTCCCCCTTCCCCAGCCCCCCAAACTCACTGGATCAGAATCCTGACTGAAAGAAATGACTGTTAAACAGCTCTTGTATCCAGCAGACCCAAAGACCATCCCAAAGGGTCTAGAAGGAGAAGGGCAGTCCTCTGAGGCATCATAGTTCTCTTGCTGGGGGGAGGAGAAGGGGGATGGCTACCCTCACCTGTTGCTTTGCCCCTTTCCCCTGTCTAGGGTCTGGAAATAGTGAACCCCCAAGCGGCTGAGAAGAAAGTGGCTGAGGCCAACCAGAAGTATTTCTCCAGCATGGCCGAATTCCTCAAGGTCAAGGGAGAGAAGAGCGGTATCATGTCTACCTGAGGTGTTCACCTGAGGTGATGCGCCTCTGGGCCGGATGACGCTGCAGGAGCACGGATGCCAGTTCTCGTGCAGGAGTGGAGACGGCCCTGAGCCCAGGCCAGGACGTCCACGGAGTGTGCTGAAGCGCCCCTGCCCATCTCCCTACTGGGACATAGCAGGTCTTCATTACGCCTGTCTGTTTTGTTATATTGGGAGAAGAAATCCCTTTTTCTAGGAAGAGTATGATTAAAAACTGAGTATCAGTATTTGTCCTCAGGAGTGAACGTTTGTGAAGCACCTAAAGGTGTCAGAGCCTTGAGCCTCTGGCCCATATGGTGTGTCCCCAGAACAGCTGGTGTACCCCATTCCCTGCCCGGCTCCCAGGAACAGAAAGATGAGCCCACCATCTCCAAGCCCTGGAGAACATCAGTTATCTTGACGGCTAGGCAGTTTGGCCAGAGAAAGCTCCAGATCATTCTGGTCTGTGAGGACACACGCAGGCCTTCCCAGTCCAGGCATCCACACCCACCCTGTGAGGCACCCAGGAGACCTGGAAGGAATGCATGGAAATCACCTAGCACCAGACTCAGGCAAGCCCAAGAGCTGAGTCCTGATATTTTTAACCTGTGCTACAAATTCTTGCACCCCACTTTGTCTTGGGAACTGGGGCTCAGACAGGCTGAGGAGGAAGGCACTGCTGATGAGGGAGAAGTGTAGGCCAGCCCCCAGGTGTGCCATGATTCTAGCAGCCCCATTCCCTCTGCTGGATGTGCTGGACTTCATGTGGTCCTAAAAAGGGAACTCTGTCACCTGGCCTGCAAAGTCTGGGCTTGTCCAAGATCTTTGATTTCTCTGTTTTGTCTTTGGTATCTCACACATTTTTTTTTTTTCTTTTTGCAAGTCCTGGGGCTTGAACTCAGGGCCTGGGCACTATTCCTGATTTTCTGCTAGTGCTCTACCACTTGAACCACAGTGCCACTTCCAGCTTTTTCTGCTTATGTGATACTGAGGAATCGAACCCAGTACTTCATACATGCTAGGCAAGCACTCTACCAGTAAGCCACATTCCCAGCCCAGATCTCACAACTTCTCTTTTTCTCTCTGGACCGACCATTGCCTGTCACTACCTATTGTTACAGTCTGATCCCTCATGGGTCTCTCAGGGGTGGCTTTTTATCTACCAGGCTGTTCGTTATCCCTGGTTTCCTTCCTGGTCTGACTATATTACATCTGCATGTGGCAAGTGTGTATGTATGGTATGAAAATTTAATACGCTTCATATTTAACCTGGAGGCTTGTTAAAGCATGATTACTAGCAGCGCTGGTGGTTCATACTGCAATCATAGCTACTTAGGAAACTGAGATCTGAGGGTCACAATTCGAAGCCAGCAGGAAAGTCTGTGATTCATTTCCAATTAACCACCAAAAAGCCAGAAGTGGAGCTGTGGCTTAAGTGGTAGAGTGCTACCCTTGAGCAAAAAGAAAGCCCCAGGGACAATGCCCAGGGCGAGTTCAAGCCCCAGTACCAGCACAACAACAAAAAAACAAATATGATTACTGGGTCCAGAGTTTTATTTTCTTACTAAGGTTTCTTAGAAGTAAGTTAGTAAGGTTTCTTACTAACATTTCTTAGAAATGTTCATTTCAAACAAGTTCACAAACATGTTTATGCCTCACATTGAACCTTGCAAGCACTCTACCACTGAGCTACCTTTCCAGCCCCACACTGAACCTTTTTGAGAACCAGTGTTCTAAAAAAGCTGCATTGTGTGTGATGCTAGGAATCAACTGGGGGGAGGGAGGGGAGGAGGAAGGGGAATCTGATGTCTGCTTCCCACAGCTAGAAATTTAGTTGGTTTAGTGTTCAGCCTAGGTATCTTGTTTTGTAGTTTCCCAGGTTATTCTAATGTGCTGTCAAGCCTGAAATCAGATGCTGCCTTCTCCGGGCCCCAACTGTGAAGTGTGGGCCATCAGCATGATCTTGGAGCTTGTTAGAAAAACATAATTTGGGCCGGGCGCTGGTGGCTCACGCCTGTAATCCTAGCTACTCAGGAGGCTGAGATCTGAGGATCGCGGTTCAAAGCCAGCCCGAGCAGGAGAGACCGTGAGACTCCTATCTCCAATAAACCACCAGAAAACCAGAAGTGGCGCTGTAGCTCAAGTGGTAGAGCGCTCGCATTGAGCTGAAGAGCTGAGGGACAGCGCCCAGGCCCAGAGTTCAAGCCCCACGACCGACAAAAAAAAAAAAAAACATAATTTGGGATATCCTGAACCAGAATCTGGGGTTCATCAAGTCCCGGGGGGGGGGGGGGGGGAGGCCTTAGCCGTTCAGGGTACACGGTGACATCCAGTCTCCACACCTGGAACAGCAAAGTTCTAGGTTAGTAACAAACCAAAAAAAAAATGGGGAGCCACCAGGGAGGTTCGGAAACACACAAACCCCAGGCCTCTGCCCTCAGGTCTCTAGTTCTGGGGATACATGTGTTTGTAAGCGCGCCTTCTTTGGTCTTGTGATTCTGATGAGGCACCGAAGGGTTCCCTTCAAGTTCAGACGCTTAGCTTCACATCAGCCTTGAGCTCATCTTAGTTTCCTCCACCGAGAGGAAGAGGGGCAGAGCCTGCCCCCGACCAAGGCTTCCTAGTGCGAAAAGGCGCAGTGCCCCGCAAGCTGCCCACCACTGGTCACTATTTGCATACCATCTGTTCATGTGCAAAAGGGGTACAGAATGCTTCCGGCACCCTGAGCCCTGGAGACTCAAGATCCAGAGAGATGCAGACATTCAGAGTGAAAGTTACAACCGACAGGGCTCCTCTCTCAGGAGGGTTAGTCCGGAAAGTTTTCTCCCTCCGAAGGACCGCGCCCACGTCGGTGCGGAGCCAGCATTACAGAAACACCTGCGGGGCGGAGGAGCGTGGGCCCGCCACGCACACCTGTGCACCGTCCCACACTGGGCGAGCAGGTGGCGCCCGCTCCCCAGCCATTGGTCTGACTGCGAAAGAGGGGTGGGGCCTTCCTGCCTAGCTCCGCCCTATCATCCCGGCGCCCGTCTTGATTGGCAGATGACTTCAGTTCGAGCCCTCGCTTTGAAGGTACCTGTCTGTCTCCCACTAAGTGTGCGGCTTTCAACGCCTACTCTCCACGCCTTTCTCCGTTTGCCTCACCCTCTTCCAGGGCCAGCCGATGGAGTCAGGGCCGACTATATCCCCGTACCTAATTCAAAGCGGCTCAAACTTGACGGAGGACTTCCCGCCCCTGGTCAGCCTGGCTCCTCCCCCTAACCAATTGGTTTTGGAGAGGGGGGCGGGTACATCCAATCAGCATGACCCAAGCCCTCTGATTGACATATGGGCCCTCGCGCTGGCGTGTTGTGCCCTGAGGCGGGAGGAGGAGGAGGAGCGAAGAAGAAAACCTAAACCAATCCTAGAAGGCTGAGCTGGAGGCCAATCGAACGCCGCGCCTTGCAGCGATCAGCCAATCACAAAGAGGGGGCCGGCTTCTTCCTTCCCACAAACCAATAGGACACGTGAGACGGTAAGGAGCGACGTGCGGCGGGAGCAATGACGGACCTATATTTGGGGCTCGGGGGCGGGTCGGCGCCAGAGACGAGAAGAGAGGAGGGGAGGCCTCCTCCGCCGCCGCCATCTTGGACCGGGCCCGGTCAGCTTCCGCGGAGCCCATCGGTAGACGCCGCGGCCTCCCTTGAGCCCCGACCCCCGTCGTCAGAACTACCCCGGGCCTGCTCTCCCCCCGCCTCACTTCCGCTTCGCGCCGCTATCGCGATAGCGCCCAGGCCCGGGGCGCGAGAAGAAGGCGGCGGGCGCTCGCCTCCCCCGCCTGTCGCGGTACGCTCCTCGGCGGCGGCGGCGGCAGCGGCGGCGGCGGCAGCGGCAGCGGCGGCGGCAGCGGCGGCGGCGGCGCCAGCTCTTGTGGTGAGAGCGTTAGGCTCGACTGGGCCGAACCCCTCCCTTCCCCGGCGCCGCCGGCCGCCCCCGTCCGGGCCCCGCCGCCAGCCGCGACCCGGTCTCCGGCCCGGCCGCGCGCGCCGGCAGGGCCGCCGCCTCCGAGCCCGGCGGCGCGGGACTCCAGCGGCCGCCGCCTCCCGCGTGGCCGCGCGCGGGGCCCGGGTGCCAGGTGTCCGCCCCCTCCGCGGCGGCCGGCCGGGCTGGAGGAGCGGGTCTCCGGGGGCCGGGCCGGGGCCTGCCCCGGGATCCCGAGACGCCTCCCCCCCTTTCCCCCTTCCTCGGGTGGCCGCAAATCCCTCCGCACCCGAGGGTCGGCCCGGCGCCGAGCGGGGCCGACAAACTCCCCGAGACCCGCAGCTCTGCTGTGAGTTGGAGCCCGAGCTAAAGTTTGCAGCTCTTCCCAGCCCGGGTCCAAGGCTGCCCGGGCCTCAGCTCTAGCCCCTCTTTGGAATGAGTGGGTTTCGAAGGCCCTTGGCATGGTGGATGCCACCCCCCCCCCTCCCCGCGGGTACAAACCGTGCTGTCAGCGCCATGAGTAATTGGTGTCTTGGAGCTATTGAACATCCCAAGGTCCGGCTGTCTGCTGTCTAGGTGGCATCGTGCAGTTGCCACGCTCCTTGGTGAGCTCGTCTCGCGGGCAGTGCAGACACCCCTTTTTCTAAGCAGTAGCTGCCTTTCCATTGGAGAAACTGTCACCTCCCCCAGGTGACCCCTGTCTTTTTGGTATGGGGTCCCTCCCTCCCCTCACCCCATGGGTTGTGGCTTGAGTCTGAGCTCCCTGTCCCCCCCCCCTTGGGGGGAGTGTTGTCTTTCCAGGAGCTGAGAATCCTCCCCACTCCCTTTGGTGTTTTGGTCAAAGCCTTCCCTTAGGAGAGATGGGATGGTCCTGTCCCTGAAGCCCAGTGGGAATAGCAGATGGAGGATGAGAGTTTGCACCTGTCCACCCTGTTGTCCCACTGTAGAGACTTGAGGCTTCCAGACCCCAGGTTCCTCTCCCAAAGGATGGTGTTCTCCCTGAAGTGGTGCTTTCTTCCTAGAAAGGCTTTCTTCCTTCCTTAGTGTTGCTGCTCCCAGGGTCAGAGTTCTGGTCTATTATTTGATTGCCATGATTGTGTAGATTTTTCGATGTCCTCTTTGTGTCCCCATTGGGATGTGTGAGCACCCCCTTGATCATGTGCACCTGTGACCAGTGCCTCTCACCCTGTTTGCTACATTGAAAGCCGCTTGTAGTGGGGTGAGCTGCTTGGCTTCACTAAAGTCATCTTCCCTAGGACTAAAGGTTCCTCCTTAGGACAGGTGAGCTCTGAGTCCCTCACCATTGGTGTTGAGCCCCTCTTCAAGGGCAGTGACTGCCTCAGCCCAGGAACTAAAACATCTCCCTCCCAGTGGTGCCCACCCCACTGGGCAAGCTCCTCACATAAGAGTTAAAGCTGGGCTGGGAAGTTGGCTCAGTGGTAGAGCTCTTGCCTTGCATGCCTGAGGCCCTGGGTTCGATTCCTCAGCACCACATAAGCAAAAAGAAAAAAGCCGGAAGTGACTCTGTGGCTCAAATGGTAGAGCGCTAGCCTTGAGCTGAAGAGCTGAGGGACAGCGCCCAGGCCCAGAGTTCAGGCCCCATGACCGGACCCCCCAAAAAAAAAAAAAGTTAAAGCTTTCCTGGGTGAAAGGTGCCTTATGTCATGCCCAAGACCCTTCCTTGTATGGGCACTCAGCCCCAAGATTAGTTAGTCTGTGCCCCTCTTCAGGCCTCGTGTGGCGGTGTCTTGTCCCCTTGGTGAAGTGGTAGAGGTTCTGTGTTGGTTGTTTCTCTGGGTCTGGGTGCTGCTCCTGTGTGAGAGGCTAACTTGAAGTTGTCCCTTCTCCGTGAATCCCCATGGCTGAGCTTCCTGGACCAGATTCCTCCAGTGCCCCAACAGAGGAGCTCTGTATTCTGTGAAGCTGCCGCTGCCTCAGATTGGCCCTGTGCTAGTGGCCTCCTGGGGCCTCTACCCGAAGGCTCCAGTACTAGCCTCCCTTCTCTCAGCCTTTGATGAGAGGTCTACGGGGTTGCCAGCAAGTCCTTGCTGAGGGGCATTTCTCTGGAGGGAGAAAATCATTGCCTTGGGCTGGGAAGTTGGCTCAGTGGTAGAGTGCTTCCTTTGCATGCATGAGGCCCTGGGTTTGATTCCTCAGCACCACATTAACAGAAAAGGCCAGAAGTGGTGCTGTTGCTCAAGTGGTAGAGTGCTTGCCTTGAGCTAAGAGCTGAGGGACAGTGCCCAGGCCCAGAATTCAAGCCTTCACCGTGGCACAGGTGTGCCCCCTTGGTATCTGAAGCAAAGCCCCTGGTACCTTCCTGTTATGTGGCACCTTACTGTACCTAGTCTTGGACATCCTCTTTCCTACTGCACAGCATAGCCTCCTGGGATATTAACTCCTCCCTGTGCCAGGTCCCAACCCCTTCATTGTCCCCTCCCTACAGTATGGAGGGCCTCATTTGGGCTGTGAATCTCAGAGGTAACTTCTTCAGGCTGGATCACCCATCGGTGCCCCTCTGTGGGGCTCTTGTCTAACATACTCACCCCCGTGCAAAAAAGGGGCTTTTGAGTGTTAGAGCGGTAGAGCCCAAACTCCTTCTTGGTGGCAGTGCTTACACAACTCATGCTAGTGTCTATCCAGGCCCTTCTATGCGCTCCCTGGATCAAAGGTACTTGCCCCACCCATCCGAGTCTCCTCTGGGGGATTGACTCTCCCCTGGCTCCTTTGCCCGGTTGCCTTGCCTTCCTGGAGATGTGTCTGCTGATGTTGGGCTGAGGGTTCTGTCCCTTGTTTTGCCAGGCCTTTTACTAAGGAGAGTTCGATTCCTACCTTATCCACCTCCACCCAGAGGGGGCCCCATGGAGTCAGTGATTCCTGTCCTCTCTGAGCCTCGCATTCTAAAGCTTGCTCTGGAATGCTGGCCCATGCCCCATGCTGGAGCTGCTAACCACATAGGACAAAACAAAATTGTGCTGGGCAGGGTGGCGCACACTTGCAAGCCTGGAATCCCAGCACTTAGGAACAGAGGCCAGCCTGAGCACAGGACGGTCCTGTCTCAAAAGAAAGAAAAATGAGTTCTTCGGTTGCATCAACCATAGTTCAAGTGCTCCATGGCCATCTGCCCGTGGGAAAGCCCACAGTGTTCTGTTGACAGGGCCACTTTCTCTAGTGAGGACCCTTCTTAAATGGAGGCTCTTACTCCTGGGGGCGGGGCTGGGTCTCAAAGAACCTCTGCCGGCAGCTTAAAATTGGGGTAACCCTCCCTAGACTGAGATATGGCTTTCCTGGTGACTCCCCGTCACCCTGAGGCCCTTATGGGCAAAGATGCCCCCCTGTGAAGTTTTGGGCACCTGCCTTGCTGGTTCAGGTTTCTGTCTAAATTACCAGTCCATTTGAGATGGCCTTCCTGTGTGTGCAGACTAGCTTTGTCCTCACCTCTTGTCTTCATAAGACTTCTGTCTCTTCCCAACCCCTTCAGGGACCCCTGTTTACTCCCAGGTCTGTGTCCTTTCTTGGTGTTTGGGTTGTAGGAATTTACCTCCTCCTGGTTCAAGAGTTCTCTGGGGAATAAGTTTCTTGGAGGTACAGAGCACCCTGCCTGTTTGTGAGAATGGGTTTGGCTCAGTGTGTAGACACAGTATTGGGCCTCGAGTGTCCTCTGGATAGGATAGGGGATTTCTGGGCTGATGCTTTGTCCCTGAAGTCACCTGTGTGCTTCCTGAGATTATCCCACTCTGAAGTAGCTTTAAATGGAAGCTAGGGAAAAGAGATTCCAAGCTCTAGGGATTGTTTACTTCTTAGCCACAGAATGTATCTTGTCTCAACCATTTCTCTGAGGCCTGTTGACCAGACCCTGTGCTGGGCAGTTGAGTGAGAGTAGAGAGAATCAGGCCTGGTCTCTGTCAGCAGGCAGTAAATGCGTTTTCCCTTCCCTCACAGCCCCATGATTTTTTCCTGATGTCTGTGTCTCTGGGTTTATAATTGCCTTCCAACCTTATCCCCAGCAGCGTCCGTCTCCAAGAGAGTATGAAGACAGCGTGTCTGTAGGGCAGGGAAGATGGCGGACAAGCGAAAGCTCCAAGGTACTGGACCAACTGGCCTCTGTACACAGAGCCATAGCCCTCTCTCATGGGAGCTCCTCTTAAATGCTTGCTACCTTGGCAGGACTCTTTAACAGTCTCCCTTCCTCCCCGGCCAGGTGAGATTGATCGCTGCCTCAAGAAAGTGTCCGAGGGTGTGGAACAGTTTGAAGACATTTGGCAGAAGGTATGGAGTAGGGGCTGGTGTGGGCCCTGAAAACCTGGGTGTGCAGGGAAGAGAACACCAGAAGAGCTTCAAGGTCTCTGGACATTGACGGGGAGACAGGCTGCTTGTCCTGATACTGAGGACATGAGGGAAGTGGCTCTAAGACCAGTTGGAAGAAGGGGTCCCAGATTCTTCAGCCCCAGAGAGGCAAAGACTGGACCTTGGCCACAGCAGCTACCCTCACCCTAACTGTAAAACCTCGTCCCTCAGCTCCACAATGCAGCCAATGCCAACCAGAAAGAAAAGTATGAGGCTGACCTAAAGAAGGAGATTAAGAAGTTACAGGTGAGGGGCTGGGAAGGTGGCTCAGTGGTAGAGCGCTTGCCTTGCATGCATGAGGCCCTGGGTTCGATTCCCAGCACCACATAAGCAAAAAGAAAAAAAAGCCGGAAGTGGCGCTGTGGCTCAAGTGGTAGAGCGCTAGCCTTGAGCTGAAGAGCTGAGGGACAGCGCCCAGGCCCAGAGTTCAGGCCCCACGACCGGACCCCCCCCCCAAAAAAAAAGAAGTTACAGGTGAGAGGCTGAGGCTGGACGAGAGTTCAGCAGGGGTGGGCCGCTGGGTCCCAGGGAGCACAGCTTGCTGGTGGGGACGGGGTCACTCCCAGGTCTGTGGTTTGATTTGCTGTGCCCACTTGTAGCGGCTGAGGGACCAGATCAAGACATGGGTGGCATCCAACGAGATCAAGGACAAGAGGCAGCTCATCGATAACCGCAAGCTCATCGAGACGGTAGGCGCCTGGAGCCGGGGCCCAAGGGGTGGAAAGGTGGCAAGATTCTTGGGACCTTAGAGGCAGGTGAGGTCCTGGGACAAGGAAGGACAGAGCCTAAGAACCAGGGCCCTCAGGCCCTTCTCAGCTACTCCCACCTTTGCGAACCCAACCCCTTGCCAATTTCACTTTCCACAGCAAATGGAAAGGTTCAAAGTTGTGGAACGAGAGACCAAGACCAAAGCTTATAGCAAGGAGGGCCTGGGCCTGGCGCAGAAGGTAGACCCTGCCCAGAAGGAGAAGGAAGAAGTTGGCCAGTGGCTCACGGTGAGTTAAGACAGATAAGGTGATGCGCTTAGGAGTCCTGCCCCACGTCCATGAGAACTCTGGCTAATGGCTTCCTCCCCACCCCCCAGAACACCATCGACACCCTAAACATGCAGGTGGACCAGTTTGAGAGTGAAGTGGAGTCACTGTCAGTACAGACACGGAAGAAGAAGGGCGACAAGGATGTGAGTGGGGGGAGCCTGAGTCTGTGGGGCAGGGGTAGGGTGGAGAGGAGGCACTTGATGTGCAGGAGACACCAGATGCCATGGAAATTGGGAGCATAAGGAGATGGGTCGGGCTGGAAAGGCAGGGTTTGGGACTTAGCTGAGTGGGCAGTGCAAATGGGGTAAGATAGGATCTTGGAGCACCTACATGTGTGGGGCTGTGCCAGGCGCCAGTGGCTTATGTCTGTCACCCTAGCTACTCAGGAGGCTGAAATCTGAGGATCATGGTTCAGAGCCAGCCCGGACAGAAAAGTCTGTGAGACTCATCTCCAGTTAACTACTCAGAAAAACTACAAGTGGGGGCTGGGAAGGTGGCTCAGTGGTAGAGCGCTTGCCTTGCATGCATGAGGCCCTGGGTTTGATTCCTCAGCACCACATAAGCAAAAAAAAAAAGCCTGAAGGGACGCTGTGGCTCAAGTGGTAGAGTGCTAGCCTTGAGCTGAAGAGCTGAGGGACAGCGCCCAGGCCCAGAGTTCAGGCCCCACGACAGGACTCCCCCAAAAAAGAAAAAGAAACAGCTACAAGTGGTACAATGGCTCAAGTGATAGAGCAGTATTAGTCTTAAGCAAAGAAGTTAAGGGACAGCCCAGAGTTCAAGTCCCAGGACCAGCAAGAAAAGAGAGGAGTCAGTTAGGGAAGATAAACTTGGGGTCAGCTTGGATGCAGAGTTAAGTGCGGGACTTGAAGGAAGGCTGCATAGCACCTCAAGAGCCTCAGGTCCTCGGAGAAGCGCATGCAGACAAAGCAGGGCAGGAGCTAGCGGAAATACCCGCAGCAGATCCAGGTACTGGAGTCCCAGCTTCTGCAGCTCAGTTCTAGGTGTGTAGGTGTGAGGCCCAAGGGATGAGGATGAACTCCACTAGGAAGGAAGCTAGGGATAAGGATGAAGTGGAGGTGGCCAGGCTTCTGGGGTCTTAGGAACCAGGGGATTGGAGAGAGGATGACAGGTCCTGGAGAGGATTGAGGTCTTCTGAATATGAGCAAAGTGGTGACCAAGATTTTCATGATTATAATACAGCAAGTTCCCCACCAATGGGAACTGCCTTTAAAGGAAGGCTGGGGGTGGGGTGTGTCCCAGAGCGAGGTCTGCGCCTGGGTGGCTCAGTGGAGAGAGGTGACTGACTGATGGTCATATGCAGATGGAGGCTGAGTGGTGAGCTGGGTCTTTTCCAGATTTCCAGGCTGTCCAGAGGCAGGGCCAGTGTGGGTAGGGAGCAGCCTCAGAGTGGTCCCCACTGGGACGGAGGGTGGGCACACTCCACACTGCCCCACCTCAGAAGGGGCCAGAGTGGAGCCTGTGGGTCACGGTGGGGACCGGGGACTGAGGACAGGTTCTGTGGGGGCAGGAGGGCCGGGCAGGTGCTGTGCAGCCCCTGAGCCTGGCCCTGGGCTCGCCAGCAGAAGCAGGACCGGATTGAGGGCTTAAAGCGGCACATCGAGAAGCACCGCTACCACGTGCGCATGCTGGAGACCATCCTGCGCATGCTGGACAACGACTCCATCCTCGTTGACGCCATCCGCAAGATCAAGGACGATGTTGAGTACTATGTCGACTCGTCCCAGGACCCCGACTTCGAAGAGAACGAGTTCCTCTACGACGACCTGGACCTTGAGGACATTCGTGAGGCCTGGGGCCAGCATGCGTGTTGTGGGGGGCGAGGCTGGGCTGCAGCCTCGCCTGAGCCAGCGTGCTCAGCACACCCACCCTGCCTCCACAGCACAGGCGCTGGTCGCCACCTCCCCCCCCAGCCACAGCCACATGGAGGATGAGATCTTCAACCAGTCCAGCAGCACCCCCACCTCCACCACCTCCAGCTCCCCCATCCCTCCCAGCCCAGCCAACTGCACCACGGTGAGGGCCTGCAGCTGCCCTGGGAGGGGGAGGGAGCGGCTGGGGCCTTCCTGGGTTTCATACACAGGCTCAGGGCCTGTGCAGGTGTTGGGTGTGGAAGGTGGGAGGTGTCTGAGGTGTCTGAGGTACTTGGGGAGGGGATCCCGTAAGGAGAGGGGGGGTCCTGGGTTTTTTAGAGGATTGGCGGGAGCCAGATTTGGGTGGTTCCCTGGAGAAATGAAGGTTGGTTGTTGGAATAGCAGGGTCCAGGTCCTTAAGAGGTTTGAACTAAGGGGGGCCTTTGGGCCCCTCAGGGATCGGCATCTCTGTGGAGACCTTTGAAGGATCAGTCTCTCACAACCCCTCCCCCCTTCAGGAGAACTCTGAAGACGACAAGAAGAGAGGACGGTCCACAGATAGTGAAGTCAGCCAGGTGGGTCCGAATCTGGGATCACTGGCTTGTCACCTGTTTGTTCTGCAGTCCCCAAAGGCTCACTGGGTGCGAGTCCCAGGCTAGGTGCAGTGTCACCCTGATGACAGCACCTGTGGGTGGTCCCCATGGCCTGTGCCCGGCATACAGAGGCAGCAGGCCACAGGCCCAGTGTGACAGGAGCTTGGAGTCGTGTCAGTGAGGCACGCTCGGGCTTGGGGGCTCAGGGCTTGGCTTCGTGGAGCAGCTCTGAAGGGGCTGGAGGTCAGGGCACCTGAGCTGCGCTAACGCTGCCAGGCCAATTTCTGGGGCGACAGTCCAGGAATTCCTCTCACCCCTAGTGAGCCCTGCTAGCCCAGGCCAGGGGCAGAGTGGGCTCCATGGGGCTGCTGTGGGGAAGGGGAGACTGAGGCAGGGACTCCTAGGTATGGTGTGGCTCTGCCCCACTCCCCTGGCCCCTTGGTGCTCAGTGAGTGGAGTTGTGTGGTCACACTTGGCTGCTGTGGGGTGTGGGTCCCTGGTTTCTGGAGTGCTGTCGTGGCTGGGTGGCTTTTCATGGTCCTTTCATTAGGCCACACTGCCTGGCCCACATGGAGACCTTTGGGGGCCTCTGTTAGTCCCCTGCCACTGGCCTCAGTTATGTGTAGGCCTGGTGCTGGGAAGGCTGCTGGCAGGGTGGGAGTGAGCTCGGCAGGCCCCTGAAGGACAGCAGTCAGAAGGCTACTGGCGCCCCAGGACAGGGGTCGGGGTGGAGGGGAGGGGGGACTGACGGCACAGAGCCCTAACCTCTGTCTCTCCCTTTGCAGTCTCCAGCCAAAAATGGCTCCAAGCCTGTCCACAGCAACCAGCACCCCCAGTCCCCAGCCGTGCCACCTACCTACCCCTCCGGCCCCACACCTGCCACCGCTGCCTTGAGTACTGCCCCCGGCAACAACGGGGCCTCCAGCCCTGCAGCGCCGCCCAGTGCCCTGGGCCCCAAGGCCAGCCCAGCCCCCAGCCACAGCTCAGGCACCCCTGCCCCCTATGCTCAGGCCGTGGCTCCGCCCACTGCCAGTGGACCCAACACTGCCCAGCCCCGGCCGCCCAGCGCCCAGCCCAGTGGAGCAGGTGGTGGAGGCAGCGCTGGGAGTGGTGGTGGCAGCAATAGCAGCACGGGAGGCGGCTCTGGCAAGCAGAATGGCGCCACCAGTAAGTAGAGGCAGGATGGCATGGGGCTGGGGGGGGGGCAGGGTGGGAGGCCCAAAACAGGGTGCACAGGACAGGAGCCGCAGGCTGCCTTTCTCATGTGCTCCTCTTCCCCAGGTTACAGCTCAGTCGTGGCCGACAGCCCTGCGGAAGTGGCCCTCAGCAGCAGCGGGGGCAACAGCGCTAGCGGCCAGGCCCTGGGGCCCCCTGCAGGCCCCCACAACCCACCTCCCAGCACCTCGTGAGTGTCATGTCTCACCAGGCAGGGCTGCTGGCAGCCGTCTTCCACCCCAGACACACCTTCATTAGCCAGAGAAAGGGCTGTTTACTGTGAGGTGACCCTAAGTCCTGCCCTCTGCTCCTCCACACGCCAAGGCACCCCTAGTGCTGGACAGGAGGCCCTCCCACCCCAGCTCTGGCCTGGCTACCCTGCCCCGTCCTCTGTAGCCCTGTGGCCTGGGGTTCCCACCTCCATACGCTGCCTTGCTGAGTACAAAGCCCCAGAGACTAGTTGTCCCTTTTCCCAGAAGAGCCACTGCCGTGGCTGTGAGCCCTCAGCCGCCCCTTGGGTCGCACCCACCCTCAAGGACGCCCATTCTCTTCCCAGCAAGGAGCCCAGTGCAGCAGCCCCCACAGGCGCTGGGAGTGCCGCCCCAGGCTCAGGGAACACCTCGGGAGCACCCAGCCTCCTGGTGCCACTGCCCGTGAACACCCCCGGCTCTCCCACACCCAGCTTCAGCGAGGCCAAGACAGCTGGCCCCCTGCTCAACGGCCCTCCGCAGTTCAGCACCGCCCCGGAGGTCAAGGTGAGCTCCAATGGCCCGAAACACCCAAGGCCCTGTCTTAGCACTTCAGTCTTTGTTCCAGAGGCTTCCGCACCCTTCCTGCCACACCTCTTAACAGCCTCCTTCCTCCCTTGAGCCAGGCTTCTCTGGCTTTCTGCTCCTTCTCTCCTTTCTCTTGCTCTTTCCCCATCACCGCTGCTGCCTTCACCTTCGTGCTGGCCACACTGCCCTTGCTCTGCTGTCTGCAACCATCTGCATGGCCTGCCTTAGTTATTTCCCTGGATGCGTCTTCATCTCTTCTGTGGCGCAAGTCTCGCCGCACTGTGTTCTACCAGGACACCTGCTCCGTCTCCTGTTTTCTCCTCTGCCACTGTCCTTGTCCTCATCCTCTCTAAGAAGCCATTTCGACTGAGAACACATGTTCTGGTCAGCCCTCAGCTCAGCTTTGCTGTGTGGCCAGTGTTTCTGCCCTCAGAAGCTGGCTGCCTGGCCTCCAAGGGCTGCTCACCCCTGATCTGGAAGGGTCTTAGGGCAGGACTGGAGTTGTGGGAGGGTGCTGATCCAAACAGACAGGAGGCTGGTGGTGGTACTCGGCAGGACTGAGAGCAGTGTCCCCTGTGCACGGGGCCGTCTGCCCAGACCATCCAGATCCACGTGCCGTGTTTCCTACGCCTGCCTGCCTTCCTCTGGAGAGCGGAGATCATTGTAACACCCCTGCTGCACTGGGTCCTTTGCCAGATCCACCCTCAAGTCCCACGCGAGTCCCCACAGAGTGATTGGAAAGGCACTGGGGGCTGGAAATGGAGTGTATGAACCTTACTAGCAAATCTCAGTTGAGAGGTCCAAAAAGAATCCACAGTGCTAGAGCCTCTGGGTGGGAGGTGGGGAGCCTCTCCCAGGCTTTGAACATGAGGGCTGGGGAACAAGATCACACCTCACTAGAAAAGTGGCTGCATAGAGTGGGAGGGGAGGGCTTGGCCTGGGTGCTCCTTGTGACCAGGTGAGCACTGTGTCGGGTGGGGGCTCAGCCTGCAGGGCCCCAAGGAGTGTGTGAGGTCAGCTGTTGCCCCTGCCGGCAGCCCAGCATGCAGTGTTCTTCCTACCCTAGCTCAAGTATGCCAGTCCTGGAGCTCAGACTCGAGACCTGGCTGCCGCCCTAAGCTTTTGTGCTTTGTGCTCGAGGCCGGTGCACAGCCCACTCAGGTGCTGGTTTCCAGTGCTGGGGTGGTGAGGTGCCCAAGGCTGGCTCGCAAGCAGAGCCGCTGTGCACGTGTCCTCGGAGGGAGGCTCCATGGCCGCAGGGCTTTGGTGTCAGGACATGGTGAATAGGCAGAGCAGGCAGGAGTCCAGGGCCCCGCAGAGGAGCCCAGTGTGAGCCTGAGGCCGGGCCTGTCCTCCCCGCAGGCCCCTGAACCTCTGAGTTCCCTCAAGTCCATGGCGGAAAGGGCAGCCATCAGTTCTGGTATTGAGGACCCAGTGCCCACGTTACACCTGACTGAGCGAGGTGAGCGTCCAGGGTTGGTGTGGGGGGTTCTGCTGGAGAGGTGGGGCTGGTCCCTATCCCACTCTCATCCTCGAGGGGCCCTGCCCCGCTCCCCCCCACAGACATTATCCTGAGCAGCACGGCCGCGCCACCCACCTCCGCTCAGCCTCCCCTGCAGCTGTCCGAGGTGAACATCCCGCTGTCCCTGGGTGTGTGTCCCCTGGGGCCCGTGCCCCTCACCAAGGAGCAGCTCTACCAGCAGGCCATGGAGGAGGCCGCCTGGCACCACATGCCCCACCCCTCTGACTCTGAGCGCATCCGGTGAGCGAGCCCGGGACAGGGTGAGGGCTCCTTGCAGGGGGCCACCTTCAGCATTCTCCCAGCCCAGCCCGGACAAGAGCCAGAGGACACCAGACACCAACCCTCCCCTGTTCACAGGCAGTACCTCCCCCGGAACCCCTGCCCGACGCCCCCCTACCACCACCAGATGCCACCCCCCCACTCGGACACGGTGGAGTTCTACCAGCGCCTGTCAACCGAGACGCTCTTCTTCATCTTCTACTATCTGGAGGTACAGCAGGGCCCCCGGGGCAGCCTCAGGCCCCCCGGCTCCGCCGCCACCGCCGCCGTTCCCCCTCGGGCTGAAGGGGTGAGGTGGGTGTCCCACGGCGGCCTCTGGGACCGCACTCTTCCCTCTCCCAGCCCTGGGCCCCTGCTCCATTCTGCCCAGGGGTGTTCACTGCTCCGCTGAGGCTGGCCTCTACTGCAGCCCTCTGTCCATGGCCCTGGGCCCCGGCTAAACCCAGGAAGGCCCTTTAGTCCAGGATGTCCTCCTGCTCTGCGGTGGACACTCAGGCCTTCCAAAAGACTGGGGGAACCCTACCCCTCTTTGATAAGCATCCTAAACTATCTCCTCTCCACTCGCTGAGCTCTCCTCACGCGTTAGCTTCTCTTCCTTCTCAAAGCAATTTGCCTCCTTTGGTCTCATTTTCTTCTGGCCAGCAGTGGGACGTTCCACCCCCAGCACGATCTCCACACGGATCGTCCTGCCCAACATTGGTCTGCAGCCAGAGCCGGGGCCCAGCCCTGCTGCTCTGCCCAGCCCTGTCCCCCAGCCCTACTCAGCTTGGGCCCCCCTGATCCCACCCTCTCTCTCTCCCACAGGGAACCAAGGCGCAGTACCTGGCAGCCAAGGCCCTGAAGAAGCAGTCGTGGCGATTCCACACCAAGTACATGATGTGGTTCCAGAGGCACGAGGAGCCCAAGACCATCACCGACGAGTTTGAGCAGGTGAGGCCTGCCAGCTACCCTTCCTCTCCCTGTCCTCACCCCCATCAGTCCAGCTCCCACAGCTGAGCCTGCACTCATATATCGCTCTCCCCCGCCCCCAGCTGCCCTGGGCTTGCCCTGCCCCTTCCTGCTCCCATTTCCTGACCCCCAGAGTGCAGGGCCGTTACTTACTGGAACTCCTGCCCCTAGCCCAACGCCACTGCCCTGGGCTGCTTCTGTGTTTGTGAAGCGGGTCATGAGTTGTTGTAAGGATTAAATGAGTTTGTAACATGTGAAGACCAGTGCCACGCACAGTTGAGTGTCACAGACGTGGTGTGTCATGGGCTCGGGTACCAAGCCCCCTCGGTTCCAGTCCCTCTCGCACTCTGGCGTGGGCTTCCTGTGCGCGGGTCTGGGCCTCCAGTTAGTGCATCACCTCAGGACACCCCATCCAGAAAGCCACGTGCTGCGCTTGAGCCTAGACACAGAGCCAGGGCCCCCAAGTGCAGCCGGCCAGGGCCAGGCACCCCAGAGCCACAGTCCCCATTCCACTCCCTAACATGAGCATGAGAAGTGGGGAAAACGAGCCCCATACATCCAGTTGGCCTGGCACCTCTGCACCATGCCCTGTCCTATGCCTGTCAGTCTGGCCCCAGACCCCAGCCTGCCTTCACCTCCACTCACTGCACGCTTTCTCCCCGGCCAGGGCACCTACATCTACTTCGACTATGAGAAGTGGGGCCAGCGGAAGAAGGAAGGCTTTACCTTCGAGTACCGCTACCTGGAGGACAGGGACCTCCAGTGACGCCGGCCCTGTCCCACCCTTCCCGCATGCTGATCCCCTCCCCTGCCCAGGTGAGGGCCCGGCCCTGAAGATGGGGCCCGAGCCACGGGGCACCCCCTCCCCCAGGAAGCAGGGAGGGGGCCGGGAGGTTTTCTCTTCCTCTCAGCCCCACCCTGGGGGCCCGGGGGCGAGGGCTGCCCCCTCCTCTCCCCAATGAGGGACATTTTTTGGTAAACCTATTTTCATTTTGGAAAATATTTATGAATAAATAGTTTTATATGACGGCTGGTGGTAGCAACCTCTCTTGTATCCTACCCCATTCCCCCCAGAAGTCAGCGAGCAAGAGGGGGGTCCTGCCGGCGGGGCCGCCTGGCCAGCTGGGGGTTGAACTGGGAATTGTACCGCCGGCGTCGGTCATCCGTCTCTTCCTCCTCGGGCTCACCTTGGGATGCCCGGCCTTGAACCCGCGCCAGCAGGGCCTCAGCCCGCACTCTCTCGGCTGCTTCCCTCTGAAGACGCTCAGCCCGAAGCTGATCCAGGGTTGGGGGCCTGGAAAAGGGGGAGCAAGGTCAAAACACTGCACAGCACAGCCCTGGGGTCCTACCCTGTGCATCCCCTGCTCGTCAGCTGACCCCTGAAGCCCTGGTCCACACCCTGCTCCTAAGCTTGCTAGAAGCAAGCCGTGGGTGAGCCCTGGGTAAGGCCCGCCTGCCCTCCCAGTGGGAAAAGCACATGGCACACAGTGATAAGCGAATCTTCTATATGGGCCTGGGGTCCCAGGAACCTAAACCCTGGTTGTTATCTAACCCAGTGGTCTTCACTCTTCAAATTTGAGAATTTCAGAGGCCTTTTTGCATGAGGGTATAACTATTCACATTGTGAGTTAGAAACAAGTCCCAAAGCCACAGGCGTGTGTGTCATTGCCGGGATCCCCTAGGAGTTCTCTGGGGACCTGGGGCCACAATGCTGAGCACCCTGCTCTGACGGCCAGCCTGTGATGCCCCTTGGCGGCTGACCCTGGAATCAGCCTGCTTTGCTCTGGACTGGGTCTCCATTCTTACTCTTTGGGGCGCTGCTTCTCCCTGGTAGGATGGCTTTCTTCCATGCTGTGCTTCCTCTTCTTTCCCAGATGCTTCTGCATCTCCCGTAAGGGGTCTAGACGGCTCTTGATCTTCTCATCTGGGGCTGGGCCAGGCGGGGGACCCCCTCGCCCTGGGGGGAGTTGGTACCAAGGGGGTTGAGTCTGGGCCTCTGCTGCACTCTGACCCAAGTATGTCAGGATGCCCAGTGCTTTCTCTTGCCTCTCCTGAGGGGGTAAGAAAACAAGAGCTGAGGCAATGGGACACAGCCTTTCTTTGTCCCTCATGAGCTCTGGTGGTGGCAACGGGAAAACGCCCAGACCTAGGTTGGTTACTCAACAGTTGAGAATCGGAGGCCAGTCCTGAGCCAGCTGTCCCAGCTCTTGGTGAAGCACAGCACAGCAGCTGAACTCTGGCCCTGGGAAGAGGGAACTGGAGCTGGCGCCTGGCTCCAATCACATTTTAAAAAGAAACACCAGGCCAGGCGCCAGTGGCTCATACCTGTAATCCTAGCTACTCAGGAGGCTGAGATCTGAGGATAGCAATTCAAAGCCAGCCTGGGCAGAAAAGTCCGTGAGACTCTAATCTTCAGTAAACCACTAGAAACCCGGAAGTGGCACTGTGGCTCAAGCGGTAGAGCACTTGCCTTGAGCTGAAGAATGCAGGGACAGCACCCAAGCCCAGAGTTCAAGCCCTATGACTGACCAAAAAAAAAACACCAGCCAAGCACCAGCGGCTCGCACCTGTCATCCTGGCCACTCAGGAAGCTGGGATCTGAGGATCACAGTTCAAAGGCAGCCTGGGCACGAAAATCAGTGAGACTTATCTCCAATAAACCACTCAGAAAAAGCCAGAAGTGGTGCTGTGGCTCAAGTGGTAGAGCGCTAGCCTTGAGCACAGCAGGCTCAGGGACAGTCCAGGCTCTTAGTTCAAGCCTCAGGACTGGCAAAACAAAAAAACACCAGGCATGGTGGTGCACCTACAACACTTGGGAAGCTGAGGCAAGCGAACTGCAAGCTGGAGGCCAGCCTGGGCTGTATGTCAATAAAATCCCTCTGGCATTCCTACAGAGTTCACCCCAGCTAGGGCTGGGGTGTTCAGCATCCTCTAACCAGGCCTGTGGCTGCCCACAGCAATAACCCAACTTGCTGGATGCTTTATCCAGTTGTGTGTCTTCTGTGTGAGCCCACCCACCCCACCCCCACAGCTGCCTTACACTCCTCCACCCCAGCCTAGGCACAGCATCCCCTCCCACCTCTGCCCAGGATGCCTGGAAACTAGGAATAGGTCTGTGACCGGGATTCCTGGACAGGAGGAAGAGGTGTGTGAGGCCAGCTTACTTTCTCCTGTCGCTTTTCTTCCTCATACTCTTTATTGCCTCTGGTCACTCCTTTCCCTTCTTCCAGCAGGTCCCGGAACAGGTCCACAGGGCCAGAACTTTGAGCTCCTGCCTCTGCAGCTTCAAGTTCAGGCAAAGCGCAGTGACTCCTGGCTTTCTTCCGTAGGAATTCTGTGCGGGCCTGAGGGGGAGGAAATTATAATCAGGGCACTGAGAACCTAGAGGGAACCTGAAGGTCTGTGAGTCTGATGCCAACCCTAGAAAGCACAGCAGTCCACAGCGCTAGGGGGCTACAAGAAAGGGACCTTGGGGGGGCTGGGAAGGTGGCTCAGTGGTAGAGTGCTTGCCTTGCATGCATGAGGCCCTGGGTTTGATTCCTCAGCACCACATAAGCAAAAAGAAAAAAGCCGGAAGTGGCGCTGTGGCTCAAGTGGTAGAGCGCTCTCCTTGAGCTGAAGAGCTGAGGGACAGCGCCCAGGCCCAGAGTTCAGGCCCCATGACCAACCCCTCCCCCAAAATAAAAAAGAAAGAAAAAGAAAGGGACCTTGGGGTGCAGGGACCCAGAAAAACCATTGTCTCCATCCAGAGTGGAAATGTAGGTTTCCTCATGTTCTGAATCACAGCATCCCCAGGCTAGGGTAAGGCTGTACAAAGAGCTATAGGACTATGTGTATAGCTCAATGACAGAGTCCTTGCTTAGCATGTGTAAGGCCCAGGGTTCATTCCCCAACAACACTTCCACCACCACCTCTTACGGCCCGCCCCCCCCCCCCCCCAAAAGCAACCATCTGAAATCCAGGAGTGGCTCCAAGTCACTATTCCAAAACATCTAGGAATTCTTTTGTGTGTGCTGGTACTGATACTTGAACTCAGGGCTTTGTGCTTTGACTGTGTTTTCACTCACTGACAGTGCCCAACTGAGCCACAACTGCAGTCCAGCTGTTTGGCTGGTTAACTGGAGATTAGTCATTGTCTAGCTTCAATGAGCAATTTTTTTGGGGGGTGGGGGGGTGTCTGTCGGTCCTGAACTCTGGTCTTGGGCGCTGCCCCTCAGCTCTTCAGCTCAAAGCGAGAGCGCTCTATCACTTGAGCCGCAGAGCCACTTCCAGCTTTTTCTGCTTATGTGGTGCTGAGGAATCGAACACAGGGCCCCAGGCAGACGAGGCAAGTACTCTACCACTGAGCCAACTTCCCAGCCCTCCATGAGCAATTTTCTACTGACAATCGTTGAGTTTTAAAAGCCGGTGGCTCACACCTGTAATCGTAGCTACTCGGGAAGGGGAGAGTTGGAGGCTGGAAATTCAAAGCCAGTCCAGGAAAGAAAGTCCACAAGAGTCCCATCTCCAACAAAAATGCCCGACTAGAGGCATGGCTCACTGGTTGTGAGTTACTGAGCGTTGACGCGAGGCCCTGGGTTCAAGCCCCGATGTTGGCACACTCATTCACTCATACACGGATACACAAGGAGTAAATGAGGACTGAAAGCTGGGCGTAACTTAAGCTTATTAAGGGGCCCCGACAACAGAACTGGCTCATCCACTCTCCCTTCTCCTTGCAAAGAGATAATGGCCAGTGCATGGAGCGGCCGACACGGGGTGCGCACAACAAACTGGGCGCTTGCTCTGGAGAAGTAAAGAATCACAGCTTTCCGGAAATAAAGCACCGGGTTGGCACCCCGCCCACCGCGCCTGCGCAGCACCCGCTTCCGGTTCCCGCAGGCGCGGAGGGCGGCCCGGGTTCCGCCCGCCGCCCTTCCTGCTTGCCTCTTGCTGAGCGAGCAGCACTCTTCGCTCGCGCTCCTTCTCCTCCTCTCGGGCCTGGGCCTCGTCACGCCGCACGCGAGCGACATTGTCCTTATTTCGGACGTGCCAGCTTTTCTTGGGTAAGATATTCATGGCGCCGCAGCGATCGACCTCCTGTCAGACCCGCCTTCTTACAGTTCTTATAGGCACTGGAGCGGGGTAGGGAGGGGAGGGGAGGGAAGGAGAGGCCCGCCCCTCTTCCTTTGGTCCTGTCTTGTGCACGCATTGGCCGTAGCCTAGTTAGCCCCGCCCCTCTTATTTTGTAGCTGTATACGATTGGCTAGTATGTCCTCCATCGCAGCCAATCCCAGACGCTCGACTTGTGTTGTTGCCTAGCGACCGCTCTCGCCAGCGTTTGAGTCAATCACGAGTAGCCCCGCCCCAGACGCTGTCAACGTAACCGCCAATTGGCTGGCACGCTCGTCGGGAGTTCTTGGGCGGGAGAGCCCTCGACCTAGAAGGTGCCAGTACGTCAGGTTGGCGTCGGGACGCGAGTTGCAAAGCGCTCGGCATCCCTGGCTGTGTTTATTAATGTAATTAAGAGGCTCTACAGGGAGTCGGGACTTGGCGGCGGAGGCTCTGGGGAATCGTCAGACTTAGGGCTCAGGAGGGCGGCATCGTTTGACACAAGACGGAGTCCGGGCTTATTACCAAGGGGTCTGGACCCGAAGGCGTCCGGGACGTCGTTACACAGGCCGCTCAAAGGGCCCCGTTGGCGGAGCTCAGTGCCACAGCTCGCTGTGCCAGAAAGACCTTGTTCCGTGCTTCCTGGGGTGACAAGAGATGAGGGCGAGACATGCCTCCTCTTCTCGGGATCCAACTAGGAGGAGGAAGAGGAGGAGCCCTTCCCTTCCTTTTTATCCCCTCCTCTTTCCCCCCTCCCCTGACCTCCCCTTCCCCTGCACAGGCCTGGCTCACCGTCTCTATCTGGCGTTTAAACTCCGAGATGAGGCGCCCATAGGAGTTGGCCAGCGCCACGGTACACGCCATCAGGATGCTGACGAAGACAGAGAAGCCCAGAAGACACACGGCTCCCTAGAAACCCAAGACCCAGCCCTCAAC